GAGCCTCTTTTTCCTGGGTCAGAATTGTATGCCAAATATAGGAGAGGCTGGTTTGTAAAGTTATTCAGCCTTGGTGCCACAGTTTGCTCACTTTAATGAAGATTTCTATATTATGGCTCTCCCTGTGCTAAATACAGGATGTCTATCAGATAAAAGAAGATAGCCAATTTTTATTCACTCTGGAAACATCCTCGAACTTCTCCCTAACCCCTCCAAGTCAATTTACTGTCCTTTTCATGTAGGATTTTGAAACATATCCCTTCTTGAATGTATTTATGCTGCTTACTTTGGTTGCTGTCTGGGGGGGCTGTTCATCACACACCGCCCATAAAGAGATTGAAGTGACTCAGAAGGTGCTAATCAATCTAGTAGGCTACACTTGGAAGGAGACTTAGACTTGACTAACAAGCACTAATTAAAGGTAGAGTCCATCTGGGCAGCAATAGACAGGGCTTGTATAAAACCAGGAAGGGCTAACAGAAGGGTAAAAGAGTGGAGTCAGTTTCTGGGTATGGAGAGGTGGGAAAAAGAATACCTAGTGGCAGACAAGCAGCCTTAGGATCTGGACCTAGGAGGGAAGAGGGTTACCCATGTGGGACCTGGAGAAGGCAGCCCTGTGAGGACAGAGTGGGAAGGAGCCTAGGAAAGGACAGCAAAGGTTGAAACACTGTGGAACTTGGTTATTAAGTGAAGAGTCTCTAGGCTGGAACACAGAGTAACAGGTAGGCCTAGGATCCTGTACCAGCCGTATGAAGGTGGTACAGTTTGGAATGAGTGGACTTTCAGGGAAAAGTACCTGGACATCTACTCTAGCGAGACTTCCTCACTTTGGCTGGCGGGTGGGGAGGTGAGTGCATAGTGACCTGGCTGGTGGGTCAAGCCACAGAACACTGCAATAACAAGAAAGCAAGAAGGGCCTTGATGAAGGAAGGGGGTGTCTGACTAGGCAGAGCTGATCCCTAGATGCAGATACAAGGGGATTCTCCAATGGTGAATAATCTCTGCTACAATGACTGACAAACTGCTGAATGTTTTGTTTCTTTTCCATTTTGGAATTGCACTGTACAAATTGTTTACATGATAGTCCCATTTTCATCATCTGTTTGATCTAATGTTTTAGAACTAATAGTAGTCTTCATTTTAATGATGCACTAATTTTCTCTTTAACTTTTAGCTCTTTCATAGAACTGGAAGGGACCGTCAGTCATCAAAATCCTGGCTTCATTTGCAATTCTGATATGTCTAATTTACATCCCTCTTTTGAAAGAGGGATATAGTTTAGATGTACCGTCAGACTGGTTATCCAGCTAGATGCACCTGCCTTTCAGTAGCCCCATCTAGGTTGTACTTCCCTAGCTTGATAAAAAGGTCACGTGAGATTGTGTCAAATGCCTTATTAAAGTTTAGGTATCCCATGTCCACTGCTTCTCCCTTATCCACAAGACTTCTTATCCTATCAAAGAAAGCTATCCGATTTGGTTTGACAGGATTTGTTCTTTACAAATCCACGTTGGCTGTTACTTATCACCTCATTTTCTTCCAGATATTTTCAGATGAATTCCTTAATTACTTGCTTCATTATCTTCCCTGGCGCACAAACTGACCCTGGGTAGTTTTTATTTCACTCTTCATAGATGGGCACTATATTTGCCTTTTTCCAGTCTTCTGGAATCTCTTCTGACTTCCATGAGTTTTCAAAGGTGATAGCTAAAGGCTCAGATACCTCCTCTATCAGCTCCTTCAGTATTCTAGGTTTCCTCAACCCATTAGCTTCTTATGTGTAATCAAGTTAAATATGGTCACACTGTTCTCCTTCATATCTCTAAACTGAAACAGTTAGGTTGCATGCTATTAAACCCTTTTATGCACATCATTTTTGATAGTTCCACACACTGTTCAAAGTACACAAATACCACCTCTGTATCATCTGCCACAAGGAGCGGGCTACTCCGCCTAAAATCAGGCCTAGGTTATGGATCATATATCTTAATTTAAAAGGGTCCAATTCTGACTTTAATTGCATGGCTGGAAATGCAATTGTAACTGAAGGCCAATTGTACCCTCAATCTGCGTACAAGGAACATATGATACCACAAGAGGGATACATATGGTTATGCAAAAGAACTGGTGGTTTATGGTGACTGTATACTTCTCACAGAAACACTTAAACTTTCTTTAAAGGATTAAGGATGTGCTTTTGAACAAGAACATCTTGATAAGCAAAAATTCTTAGTCCAGATCTTTGGTTGCTTCTCTGACAGCAAAACAGGGACAGAAAGAGGGTGTGAGCAGCTAGCTGAAGATTCTCCTTGTCAGGGGGACCTCTAGGTAGCATGAGTTTGATTTATACTTTCTAGTGCCACCTGGTGCAGAGAGAGTACTGAAGAACTCTGGACCCATAGAACAGAGTCCCTAGGGCCTGAGAATGAGCTAACTTAAATGAGAAGATGAGCTAACTCCATTTTCCCCAGGATAAAGGAAGGCAGTAGAGATTTGCATCTCTTGTCGTTTACTGTTTTGCCATTCAAAAGGTGAAACCTTAGACAGCTTTAGGGAAGATGTGTGCGCTTTGAAACACACCAGCTAACAGCACATCCTTGTTAAATGGGCTGTGACGGTGTGCAAGTGCATTCACCACTGATGAGAAGCAGTGAACATTCTAGCATGCAGATAAAGGAAGAGAGACCACTATGAATTACCTATCACTATAGCAGGAATCCAGTCAATGTCATATACCTAGACCTCAGCAAGGTTTTGAGACAGTCCCAACTGACATTCTGATAAGTAAGCTGGAGGAATACAGGCCCAACAGAACCAGTATCTATTTAATAGATAATTGGTTAAGCAAGTATTAACAGAATGATGTCAGATTGGAGGGAGATATCAAGTGGGGTTCCATGGGAATCTGTTCTGGGCCTGGTCTTCCACACCTTTATTAATTACCTAGATGTAGGAATAGAGATTTTATTGATCATTAACAGCAGCTTAACAGGCAAATCACAGGAGGTGCTAGTACAGCTCTTCTCTCCAGCCGGTTACTCCACTGAAGTATCGTGTCCAATCTTGGTCACCAATGTATAGACAGAACGAGGAAAAACAAAAGGATCCAGAGGTGAGCAACCTGTATCCAAAGTGATGGAAGACAAGCCATATGAGTAAAGGCTAATAAAACAGGCTATATTTACTTTGGAAAAGGGGAGATTAAGAGGGACATAAGTTTTCAAATATTTAAAAGGCTTACATAAAAAACACAGAAAAATTGTTCTGCCT